CATCACTAATCTCTCCTAGTTTCTATGTATTTGCTTTTCCACATTTCACTGGGCTCACCCATTGCATTGTATGGGCGTTCCCTCAGAATGTAAAGGCTCTATCCTTGATCTTCATTTATTTTATTTTACGGCAGCCCTACCTAATCCCATTTTTATCAACAGTGTTATATTATGAGCTATATTTCCATGTGCAGATGACTTCACTATGTGTATGTCCAGCCATCTTCCCTTGTTATTTCCTTCAGTTCATTCTGACTTTTATCTTTTATTAATAAAAAGCATGCATGAATGCATTGCTTCATATCATTACCTCATTTAAACACCCCTGATATTTGTAGGATACAGGTCAAACTCTTCAGTGTGGTGTAAAGCCCACCAGCATCTGGGCTCTCATCTTCTACCATTCACAGCTGCATGTACTATTCTCCAGTCATATTGGAATTCTTATGATAATCTTTTCTTCTGCAATATTAGCGTACTATCAGATCCTCCCCTCCATCCCAGCTCAAACTCTGAAAAAAGTTTTGTGACCATAGATTGTATAATCCAGATACTGAAACTACTAATATTAGCCTATTTCGAGATTGCCTTGTTGGTGCCCTGAGGCAAGGCCACACTTGTCTCCCTGAAAAAGAAAAAAATGTGATGATTGTCAAACATCTTGGGAACTTCTTCAATATGGGACAAGCAATAAGGTATGTGTTTGATCTGAGGGCTAGGGAAACATCTTCCTCAAGACCAGGGGCTTCCAAGCGTGATATTAACCTATTATTTTAAGTTGAGTTTCCACAATACAAATTCTGACGTGAGAGGATTTGCATGTAACTGGTTTATGGAGAGGAAATAGGAATGGGTACAGGAAAAACAGGGTATGTGAGGGGAAAAAAGCCAAAAAAGGGTATAATTTCAGGTAGAGTCCCTGACTGGGCTTTACCCTCTGGGGAACTCTGGAGTGTATATTGCACTTCAGATATTGCCCTGCCTTCAGGCAAATGCTTGAATTGCGTCTGCTTGCAGCTAGCTGCAGTTAGTCATTGGCTACAGGCTGGGCAAGGCAGGTAGGAATGAGGATTTGTAAATTCCAGATACTTCCAGCTCTGCTTCTGCCACTTAAGAGCAGGCCTCTGAGAAGCTGCAGGTGCAAGCCGTCAGTAGATCACAGAGCTGGGAATGGCATAAAAAACTGGCAACAGAGAGGTGAAGGAACACCAATAGTATCCAATACATCTGGTTATGGAGAAGCAGGCGAGGAGGTAGAATAATCACAGACCTTGCCCTTTTTACTGCCAGCTGCAGTCATAGCAAGAACAGTAGCAGAAAACAGAAGCGACAGCTTTTTGAGCAATCGTCTCTGGGCAGTAACAGAATCCTTTTTCCTCAAGTGGCCATGCCTAGCCCCACTAGCAAAGCGATGAGACGTGGCAGGACTTGGACTCCTGGGCCCCAGCTAACGGAATCACCAGTAGTCATGGGCAGCCCACTGTGCTCAACAGAGAAGAGACTATCTGAGAGTCATTGGTAGTAGAAAAAAAGCATGGGGACAAAATAAGGAGGCTGGAGAGGAATGCCCAGACAGAGTAATTTCAAAATGGATGCAGAATTATATTGCAGAAAACTGACAAGTAACTAGGAAGTGGAAGAGATTCTTGGAGAGCGAGAAGTCAATAGAATCTCTGAAGCCAGTTGAAGTTTGGACTACACTCCTTTTAAGTACTGGTGAGAGACTAGGATTATCAGTTTCTAAACCCTCCATGGCTGCGTGTTACAGTTAATCCATCCATGATCCAAGGAATGGGGCAACAACGGCTCATCTTCTCCTTGGGTTCCCAGACCCATGAACAATGTCCCAACTTGATGAACACTTTTCGAATTTTCCCTAGACTCGGTTTCTCCCTCCTCTGTTCTTAACAAGCACTCAGCAACTTTTATTACAGAATTTGCTGCATTGTACTACAGTGGTCAGTTTAGATGTTTGTCTATCCAAAAAATTCCTTCAGGAAAGAAGCTACTACCCATCTCTGTTTCTCAGTATTAAACATACTATTAGGATAATAATACAGTCTTCATGAATACTGGTTGAGTGAAGAAAGCACATGGAACCATGACTTTGATCCTTTTGGGAAGGCAAAGATATCTCAGAATGTGACGTAAGCTATGAAACTTCTTCCAGAAAAATCTACAAAAAGAATATTATATACATTAATATAGAAGAATTTCTCAAAACAGTAAAAAAAGAAAGTGATCCAGGTTGTTACTAGCATAAAGCATGTCTTTCAAACTCAAGACTAATTGTAGAGATCTTCCAAAATATTTGAAACCCTGGTATGTTCTAACTCTTACAGTATACTAATGAGAAACTTTTTAGGAGCTCACTTCCAAATTACATGCACCAACTACTTTGGAGGAAGTTCATAAGAACTGCAATTAGTGTGAAGCGAAGCACTGATGGGAGCCAAGCAAGAAAACAGAAGAGAAATGAAATGAAGAGAACTTTAATGAACAAGGAAAACAGGCAGGAGCAGGCAAGTCAGGTCTTGAAAATGAATGGTGGGGAAGGCACTATTTTCCTTCAGATTAATGTCACGCTCAAGGCTGCCTTATTTGACTACTGAATGAGTTATGTCTAAGGTATTTCAGCCAGATAGAAGACAACCTCCTCCTGCATAGATTCTATCTTTTCCAAGAGTCCTCAATCCACAATCTGCTCATCAATAATTACCTTGAAATATTTCAAAATATTTGAAATAGTTTGGGGAGCCTCACATTCCCATTCCATTCCTCTAGCCTTAAAACATTTCTGCTTTCCAGATGTTGGCTACTCAGCCAGTGATATTGACATCATTTATTTATGTAAAGGAAACAACTTTCAGTGTTCACGTTTAATGTGTTAATATTACCAATTTAGAGATTTTAGTGTTTGGTTGTGTTTCTACACTTGATGAAAGTGTAATGAAATATTTTGTGTATGTTAAGTTCCAATTAGTAATTATTGATGAACAGATTGCGGATTGAGAGAGATTTAACGAAAGGGGAGTCAATTTATAAACTTTACTTCTAATTTTGAAATATTTTAAATCCCATTATCTCTTTAATTTTTCTGAGCAAGTTACATATGCAAAATATTTCACTATGCAATTTAAGATGGACCTTAAGCTAAACATGTGAGGAAGAATTAGGTAGCATTCAGATAGATTCAAATTCCTAAAAGCAACTATTTAAAAGTAAAATGAAAACATCTATAATCTACCAAATAATAATCGCACTTCTCCTGGCTACAGAAACTCATTCCTTCTTTTGCACCATAACCATACAATTTCTAAAGGTGTAGGAAGAGCTGGAAGTATATGAATTCAGGTGTAAAGTCATATATATTTGACAGTTTCCTTAAATGTATCTACAGATAAAAGTTATATTGAAGCTGATGTATTACTTTCAAGGTTCTCTTTTCATATACATATTTGTTTAAAGTATATTAAAATTTTAAACTTCTGATTATGGTAAAGTTTCCTTGATTGAAAGACTCAAATCTTTCTGACATTGGGTTGCATCTTACAATATGTGGACATTTAATGTAACAAGTTCTTAAATTGATGGTTCACTATGTAACTGATGTAGTTCTAGAATAAAGAAAACCTGTTAACGTAAAATTCTGTTTACTCTTCCGAAAACATTTCTCAGAAATGAGGACTTTCCATTGTTATTCTATAGCTTCTAAGTTCTCTATCCATTTTCTTCGTTTTTATCTTCCAGAAGTTAATTTATTTAGGGAATAATGAGGCAAAGTCTTTGAGAATCGTGAAACAATAAGATAAATTTGGTTTTCTAATACTGCTAGAGAGATCCATATATTCTTAGTGAATTAATGACAGGAGATGTTTCCTTATGACTGATTTAGAAGTCAGCTTCAGTAAGCCTTCATGCCTTGCAATCCACAAAGTCTGGTTGAAGCATTCAAACATGGATGATGTCAAGACAAGAGAGCTTCATTTTAGCACCTGGCTGTGCTTTTCCCCAAAATATAAATCTATTTGTGTTAGAATTGGCTAAAGGCTTTGTCTCAATAAATTGTATTCAACCAAAAGTATTTTATTAGTGATAAAAAATAAATGTTATGTCAAAGTTACTTAGAAGGTGATGGGGGAATGAAAGTCATTTCATGAAACAATGTGAAAAATGAAAAAGCTCTTTTTGATCATAGTTCATAATTGAAGGTTATTTCTATTTCCGAGGTAGTTATTTTGGCAATTAAATCTACTCAAAAGTTTTATCTCTAAAAAAATTAATTGTATGTTGAAAATGTGAATTGGGATAATGTACTTTATAAAGGTTAAAAGAGGTTATTCTAAATGTTATTTCAGTAGCATTAGGTTTGTTAACACATGCTGAAAATTTTAAGATATTGAAAAGTATAAGATGCTAAAACTTCTCTGTATGGAAAAGGTATGATTTAATTGTATTAGTAAGAATTGTTTCACATGAATACTACCTTAGTGTTTTTAATGTGGTAATGCTCTGTGCTACTATGTCACATGTTGTTTATAATCTCCCTTAATTTAATGACTAGACTATAAATTTCTTCAGCGTACTGTCAAATTTCTTATTTTTAAACAGCTTTATTGAATATAACTGACATACAGTAGACTGCATATTTTAACAATGTATAATTTGATTAAGTTACCCCCAAACTCACTGATGGCCTGTTCATTTTATTCTTGTTTTCTGTGTGTTTGTGTACTTCATTTTCAATAGTTTCTATTGTGATATCTCCCAGTTCACTAGTCTTTTCTTCTGCAGCATCTGATCAACTATAAATCCTATCCAACATATTTTCATCTTACACATGATAGTTTTCCAGTGTAGAGACGTGACTTTCAAATTGTAGAGGTGTCAGGAACATCTCTAGACCAGCAGTCTCCAATCTTTCAGGTACCAGGGACTGGTTTTGCCGAAGAAAATTTTTCCTCAGACAGGGCGTGGGGGAGATGGTTTCAGGATGGTTGAAGTGCATTGCATTTATTGTGCTCTCTATTTCGGTTATTATTACATTGTAATATATAATGAAATAATCATACAACTCACCACTATGTAAAATAAGCTCGGTGGGAGCCCTGAGCTTATTGCCCTGCAAATAGACAGTCCCATCTGGGGGTGGGGGGAGACAGTGACAGATCATCAGACACTAGATTCTCAAAAGGAACACACAACCCAGATGGCTTGCATGTGCAGTACACAATAGGGTTTGTGCTCTGTGGGAATCTAATGCTGCTGCTGGTGTGACAGAAAGTGGCGTTCAGGCAGTAATGTGAGCAGCGGGGAGCAGATGAAAACACAGATGAAGCTTGGCTGGCTCACCTGTGGCTCACATCCTGCTGTGTGGCCTCGTTCCTGACAGGCCATGTACCAAGTCTGTGGCCCAGTGTTGGGGACTCCTGCCCTAGACATTCAGTTTAGATGTTTCTAAATATCTTCTATGTCTTCACTTAGTATTTTGAACATATGGAATACAGTCATATATGTTTTAATGCTGTTTTCATCTAATTCTAATACTTGTATCAGTTCTGGGTCACTTTTAGTTGAGTGACTGAACTTCACTATTGGTTGTATTTTCCCATTTCTTGCATGTTGGTAATCTTTGATTGTATGTCAGATACTGTGAATTTTACCTTGTTCCATGCCTGTTAAACATATATATATATATATATATATATATATATATATATATATATGTGTGTGTGTGTGTGTGTAATTTACACATTATGTACATGTTTAGCTTTTTTTAGAAAGACATTCCTGGACAATATTTAGTGAGAGCCTACTATATACAAATAATTTACATATATTGTGATTAATTTTATATTTACAACAACCTCACCATTATACTTACTTCAAGGATAAAGAAACAAAGCATCAGAGAGGCTAAGTAACTTACCTGAGTTCACACAGCAGGTAAGTGGCAAAGATGGGATTTGAACCTAAGTGATTTGCATTCCTACAAATATTCTCGAATTTTGATCTGCAGCATAGTAAAATTTCTTGGAAACAATCTGTCATTTTTAGGTCTTGCTTTTAAGAATCATTAGGTGAGACCAGAATAGTGCTTACTAGGACTAATTAAGATTCTTTTGAATTTTGTACCCGATGCTAGCGAATTTTCCCAGTCAGTTTAATAGAAAGAAGCACCATTCCAGCCCCTGTGTGAGTTCCAGACACTGTTCCCTTCATCTTCTTAGATGGTTCTTTCTTATCCATCAGTCATTTTCTTACATGTATGTGCTAATCAGTACTATGTTGAATGCCACTTGAAAGGAACTCTTAGCAGATTTTTGAATTTTTTTACGTCTGTACATCCCCCTCCTCTCCAGTACTCTTTGTCTACTGATCTCTGATTGCCTTGGTCTCAACTCTGTCTCTGCAACTCAGGGAGTTTGCCAGGCTCCTCTTGGGTCCCCCTTGCCTATTCTACAGCTGGAAACTCTGAAAGGAGTAAGCTGGGTGCAAGCAAGGTCTCACCTCTTTAAGATCACTTACTTCATTGCCTGATGTCCAGTGTCTTGAGAGCCATTGTTTAAATTGTTTTGTTTTAGGCAGGAGGGTGATTTCAGTCCTTGTGATTCCATCTTAGCCAGAAATGGAAATCTATACTTCAATATCACTCAAATGTATGTGTATATGTGTATGTGTGTATATAGATATGACAAAACACTGTGTGTCTGTGTGTGTGTGTGTGTGTCTGTGTGTCTGTGTGTTTAGTGTCATCAGTGCTCACTCTGTACCAAGCCCCTATCCCAGCATGGCCTGGAAAGGGGAAAAAAAAAAGATGTATTATTTTGATAAGAACGACTTTAGTAATTTTGAAATTTATTCAGTTTCTTTCCTATCTTCTTGATTCTCTTTTTGCTCAATTCTCTCTTACTTGAAGGTACTGAATCTCCTTTATAATAAATAACAGAAGAATTTATTGAACCTTGCCCACTTTAGGACATGATTTTATGGGTTATCAATAGACTTTTTCTAAGAACATGAGGACTACTACTGGAAGGAAAAAAACATTATTGGAAATAAATTGGGAAACATTTCAGTCATTTTAAAAACTGAATCTTTATGCAAATCATTTCTCTGTGCCACATACAAAAAATATCCTTCATTTGGTACTTGTTCTTGGAAATCACTGTTAAAAGATACGAAAAGTATTTTTTCTCAAGAGTGGTTAAGTGTGGATTCTAGGGTTTGATAATGAAAGTAGAACTGTTCATGCATAATAGAATCAGTGCATAAGAGAATCATGACTTTTTTTTTAAGCCTGTCTTCCTTTGCTATTCTGGACAGGTGTTTCTATAGTGCAATTTTAGCTACAAAAATGGTTCATAATTGCCAACACCTAATTTAACATTCTGAAGCTAATCATAAAACAACCTCCCCTTTCACAGGAGAGACAAAGTCTCAGCTGGGCTTTAAATCCTGATTATATGACAAGGTTCCAATTGAAATTTTAGCCATCAACCAAGTGACCTTCAATGACCACAAGCTGAGAAGCTTGGTAACTAATCTAAACAGATCTCTAATCAAAACCCCCATCCAGCGTGGGTGTCCAGACCCTTGCATTATTCACCTCATGAAAAAAGACAAGCAGAATATGAAAAGCAAATGATTGTAGCAACCTTCTACCCTCAATTCCTGAAAGGCCAACTGCAAGCTGTAAAAATATTCCCATGACCCTACTTCCTGTGTGAGGGCTTAGGACACTGATAAAATGTTTATACTGTCAGCCCACATACAACTGTCAGTAATGCCTTCTGCCTTTAAGAAAGTGCTATTTTGAAGGAATATTGCTCACATTAAAATAAAAGAAATTCTACACATATAACTACTTACAGATGGCAATAATGTCATGCTTAGTATTTTTACTTCTCATAATTCTATTTTATCAAATAACTCAGTTTGAGGGAAGCTTACCTATTAATGTTTTGTGTAAAGTTTTTCTTTTCTTTGTAACAAAATTTTTCCCAACAAATTTTCTTTTTTTCCAACTTCATTAAAAGAAAATTTTGGCTTAGTGACATAGGTGTTGCTAGACAGGAAATACTTCAATCCTGCTTTAAGTAAGATTGGTAAACACCTTGCTAAACCATAAATTCATTTTGGGTGATCCATTTTTAATCCAAGTTTTTATTCTACACACTGATCAGCATACTGCTTTACACAAAGCTGGCACTGTGAAACATTTGTTAAATGCTGAACTTTAGTAAAATGACGAATGAATGAATTGATTTTCACTACAGCTACTGTGATTCTGCCCCTAAGGATTTTTTTCCCTGATTTATAACTTTACGTCTAGGAAATTTTGCCAAAGACGTGATTACATCACATTGAATTATACATTGAATGAAGTGTTTAACCTATACTGAATTAGATATTACTTTATGAAACAAAACTGAATATATATTTAAAAAATCTATATCAAGTAAAGCAATCTATTTGTAAATTTGACTTGGGTATACTCATCCTCTTTCCAATATGGGTTTTAGCTGGCTTATAGAAAACAATCTTTACACTAACATTATCAGAATAAGTTAGAGGAAAGAAAGTTGAGGAGAAAGAAGAATTAAGCATGCCAACTGCAGAGGCCAGTCCAGTGGGTATGATTGCACATTAAAACTGGCTATATGTTTTGGCCTCCAAAGTTAAACACCACACACACACACACACACACACACACACACACACACACACACACACAGTGAGTTACATAAATAACTAATGGAAAAGAAGAAAATTTACAGCTTTCTCAAGGAAGGCACATCATTTTCCTGGTACTAAACTCAGACCAAGTTCTCTTGTGGGTCTTAGGTAGGGAACATTGAGTAATATAATGGACAATGTCCTTATGCCAATTTCACAGCAAATGCAGAAATGGGCCTCATGCAGCTCTTTCTTGTAAAGGCCTTCAATAAAAGTCAAAACCATAATATTAAAATATTAGAGAGAAAGATAGTTCTGGGAGGAGCCAAGAGAATGTGGTGCCAGCTTGTGTTCAATTCTGATCCAAGGGTAAACTTAGATTGCCTGGAGGCATGAAATGCTGAGACTGGTTCTTGGTTTATACTTCCTATTTGTTAGGAGCCAGATTATAGCAAATTGCTGGAGGCAACCCTCAGGTGAGGACCTTGGCTGAGGTTTTATGTTTATGATGAAGACAGATTAGTAAGATTTAGAATCCACATGAATTGGTAAAAGGCCAATCTATAATTAGAAAATTCGGAACCCTAACTAGTGTTGTGAGCTGAATCTTCTCATGCCACAGATGGTGAAATGGGAGGTTGCTATCTAATATGGCTAAGCTTCTCATTTTTTTCCATCAAGGTTCTCCTAATGGCAAAGTCAAGTTAAACTTTTACTATCTAGATTTGGGGTCAATGCCCAAAGATCTGCTTCATAAATTGACAATTTTTTTAAATCTCTGCTTGTGATTCCACAATGTACACATCTCAATAAAATATATTTGCTTTAATATAGCGATAGTATTTTTAATGAACTCTAAGAAGATGAACCTTGTTTCTTTATTAGCTCTGAATGCTGCCTAGCCCACTTCTCCCAAAGGTAAGTCTAGTCCATTTTTAGTAGAACAGCTATAAAAACTGCCAGGGTTGGTTGTAACCTGAAAAGTTGTCAACATTGTTACCGTTATAGCTCTAAACAAGCCCAATTAATGTTCTCAGAGAAAGCTGAACTCTGAGTCACATGGTTGCCCAGTGTTTGCTAGTAATTATCAGTAAAGAGTAATTTAATTGATGTGCAATAGAAATGTTAGGTTTTAACTGAGGTTTGAGGGGAGTCGGTGGGGTGATGGATAACTGGAAAAACACTTGAGGAATAGTAGACAGTTTCAACATGGCTTTACTCTTTCTCTGGGCATGAGTGAGCCTGGGCACCTGGAAGTGAGAGCTCAGGCACGAGCGAGCTGTATGTGTAGGGTTAGCAGGTTATACCTTTTACAGACAATAGTGGCTCCAAGCCAGGCACCAGCTCATGCGGGTGATCACCTAATGCAACTCACATGGCGTGGTTACCTAATGTGCGGGGCTGTGTGCTGTGCTCCAAACTCATTGAGTCATGTTGGACTGAATGTCTGCCTCAGCCTATTCTTGACTGCAGCACATACATTTTCCTTACATGAAACTTACATGGTTCTCACAGGTGAATAGCCATCAAGGGAAAAAACTTCACTATTTTCAGACACAATACTGAATTCCTCTTCCTGATAGTAGGTAAAAGACTCAGACTTTGGTCTTTTGAGGTCAAAATAATACAAAGCTTGTGCTGTGAATTTTGTCACTCAAAATTAATAAAGCAATAATTAGCATTTACATAGCTCTTGGTAGATGTAGGTTTTACACATATTAACTGATGTAGCCTCACCTCCACGAACGAGATGGTTACTGTCTTTATTCTCTCTTTGTAAAGGGGTAGAATTTGAGACACAGAGAACATAAGTAACTTGCCCTTGGCACAGGCTAGAGAGTGAATGAGTGGGAATTTGAACCAGGCAGGTTAACTCCAGAATCTTTGTTTTAACAACAGTGCCAAGCTGACTTGAAATTGTTCTCTTCAGAATTTTTTGGTTCTGTATATTTGAGTTACTGCAAGTCGACATGTGGCCTAGATCTATCACTGGAAATGGATCCAGGCCAAGGAAGTCCCAGGTATAGGCTATAGAGAAGCAGCACTGTCGTTCTCCCTCAGCATCCTGCTTTGATCTCTAGTTCATTGCCTTTCTCTGCTTATTGGCGGTTCCTGTGACAACTTTGCCTCAGACATTTCCCATCATGCCCTCTGATTCATCTGCCATGTGTCCATCATACCCTTTGTGCTTTAACTCCCACTTTAGCTGACTCAATCCATAGAAGAAATCTCTTGGTCCATCTCCTTTTTGCTTAACCTCAGGCCATACCATAACGTTCTAGCCAGCTTTGTGTTTGGTGCCCTGTTCTGGTCTGATCAGCAGTGAGTGTGAGAACTGATATCTAATGTGTGGGAAACAGGAGGTGGGTGAGGTGTTTTCCCTCAGAAAAGGATGTGCATGTGTGACAGGGCTTTCTCAGACTTGGCCTGTCCAGTGCAGAGTTCAAGTTGATGTTCTATTGTACTTCCTTGAAGAAATTCGTTTGTTGAATTGCCATTTGTCTTTCTTTCATCAACTACATCTTGGCAAGCCACTATTAATTCATTTGTACTAAAAAAGATTGGTTAAATGGTTTCAATGGGCATCCAACGCTTGTCCAGGACCTCAGTGTTCTTAATCAGTATAAAAATGACCCCTGGATTGCAGTAAATGAACACTGCAATGTATTTTTAAATGTTTGGAATACCAGTGTTAGTCAATGTGAGTTTTCCTGATGGCGCAGTCACCGCATATTCAGTGTCTCTAATTTACAAAAAACAAAACAACAAAAACACAAACAAAACAAAAAACCTCACACTCTATTTATTTGTTGTGCAAACTTTTCCCACTCCCAGGCAGCTACAGTTTTGCATTATTCCTTTCTGGTTACATTCTGAGTTCACAAGGAACACCCTTATACTATTATCGTAGACTGTCTTTTGCCTATGTTCACCCCATCACCCTATCACCAGCACATGGCTTCTCCGCCCACCTCCACCATCATTATTCATTTCAAATGCCTGATGTCCTCCTCGAGTTTTGTTATCTAAGTGTTTCTCATCCACTTTGGTATGTGCTAATTCAGTACAGAAATTACTTTATATTTGTAGATAGAGAAATTAGTCATAAGGATGAGATGAGTGATTTTTTCTAATACCTGTCAGAAAAATCTTCTTTGCTTTGAAAGCGATGTATTTTTACAGTTACTTTGCTTTCATTTTTGATGAAATTTTTGTTATAAACAGTGAAAAAACAAGACTAAATGTGCATGCTTAAATCTGAAACTCTTTTTCAGAGGATAATATCCAATTGTACTTTTTTATAAAATCAAAACCTTATGATAAGAGGATTATCTGTCATTTTAAATATTCTTTTTAACTACTTACTCAAGAGGCAAATACTGCTTGTTTGATAAGAAGAACATGTAAACTAATGGCAGATTTTCAGAAAGGGCAATGTTTACCTAGCTAACATATTGAGAGTAAAATAATGTGTGGGAATATTGTATTCTTTTAGAAAAAGGTACTCATTTTTCTTGCAAAGTTTCTTTAAGAGTAATCTTTGCCTTGTCACTTTAGACAACTTTTGATAGTATTAAAAATTTTAAGTTATTCAATTTCAAATAAATAGCAAACTACAAGAACAATAACTAGAATGATACATTGGGGGTATTTTCTCTATTAATCACCTCATATTGCTGTCTTGCTGGAACATTCATAAACCGACAATATTTTATATTCTCAAGATTTAAACAGCCTTAGTATTTTGTAAAGCATCACAGTCATGCATTTACATATATAAAACTAGTTATTTACATAACTACATATAATTATACAACTACATATAATTTTATATAACTAATTATGTTACAACTAATATCTATATTTTCCCTTTTTTGGTGCTGAAGGGTTTTTGCTGTTTTATTTGCATGTTTTTATTTTAATATTTATGAGCCTGTGTAACTTAATCACTATTTGCTAAAATTTGCAACTTGGAAGGCCTTACTGATACTTTACGTGGTCATGAAAATATCGTATTTAAAATCAAAAACATGCTGGAAATTCTGGCATGTATAATAATTTTAGCAGTGTGTTAAAAGTTAAGAGTTAAAAGATACATTTATTACCTTTGAAATGAGATGCTATAAGTGAAACCACACACATCACAGCATTAGTTTATCCTAGGGTGACCTCATTTTAATTATTTTCAGAATATGAATTAAGCTATTATAGGTGATCTTTTAAAGAGTGAGGATAGGAAAGATAGAAAACACTTTTATAGTCTTAGAGTAAAATGCTGTGGTCGTTTGGAAATGCATTATTAAAGACTTAATCCCAGCACAATATGGGAAAGGCAATTCCACAGACCTTTCCAGGAGAAATACAGAAGACTAGAGGTTAGGAATGAGGAGAGAAAGAGGTTTAAAGCAAGGAACATCTGGGAGTGCTAAGAACAATCAGAAGCCATAACATAAAGAAGACAAAAGGTAAATGCGCTTCTCTCCCCCTCATAGCCATCTGGCTCAACAGACCTTAAATATTGAGCATACATTGTTTCAAAGGCTGCTTTTTTCCCTCTCTGACCTCAGCCACTAGGAAACAATCCTTTATATGAAGTCAACTTTTTTGGGAAATCCCTATTACTTCAGAGGTGGGATATATTTGAAAAATGTACAACTTAGAATTCTTAACCTTTTACTTACTGGATTCTCAATGCTGAGGAAAACTTACAGTTTAATAAAATTACACATATACTGTCATCATATCTTTTTATTTAACTACAAAAATTTAGTGACTTGGTGTTTAACAAAAAGCACTAGTCACTTTGAACTACTGAGTTAATGGTAAAAACAAACACATAACTTTTTCAATATTAAGAATGAAAACTATTTTTTTAACCTATAAAGAGAAAATATTTGTTTTCTTTAGGGGAAAAACCCATTCTTATTTTAATAAAAATAATGGGAACTAAACATATGAGAATAGCTTTTAAAAATAATTCATAGACATTTTTAGTACGGTTTTAGATTTTCAACATAATTGAACAGATAGTACATAGAATTCCATATACTCTTCCCATCCACAACAGTTTCTCCTATTATTAACAGCTTGCATTAGTCTAGTACATTTGTTATAATTAATAAATGAATATTGATGCATTGTTATTAACCATAGTTCACAGTTTCTATAAAGGTTCACACTTTGTGTTGTACAGTTCTATGATTTTAACAAATGTATAATGACATGTATTAACCATCTTAAAAATCCTCTGTGATCCACCTGTTCATCGCTTCTTCCCTCCCTCCCCTTGAGCCCCTAGCAACCAGTAATCTTTTCACTGTCTCCATAGTTTTGCCTTTTCCAGAATGTCAAATCTTTGGAATCATATAGTATGTGGCCTTTTCAGTTGCATCTTTCACTTAATGCCACTCATGTAACAGTCCTCTATACCTTTTTGTGACTTAGTTGCTCATTTCTTTTTGTCATTCAATGATTTTATAAATAGGCAAAAATTTCATAACCTAATATAGCATTGAAAAATAAGGATATTCCAAAGCGTATCTTTAATCAAAATAATAGACATTGGAGACTATGAAAGGCAAGAGGGTGGGAAAGAGGTGAAGTTTGAAAAATTACTTATTGGGCACAATGTTCATTCTTTGGGTAATGGGTGCACTGAAGGCCCACACTTCACCACTATGCAATATATGCATGGAATAAATCTGTACTTTACCCCCTAAATATATTTTCAAAAAAAGTGTGACTCTAAGTAGACTTGTGTATCAAAAAATTGCTTATTTCAGACAGACAAATAGTTTTTGAAGATCACCAGGCTTAACAAAATTCATTTTAGGCTACAAAATGTATTAGACTCATTTACATTTTCATAGCACCCCTAACACCCCTCTAAGTCAAACTCAATTCTTTTCATTACCCATCTGTAGTACTTGGCCCATCTGCTAGTGTTCAACAGACTAGTGTACTCCCATTAACCACAGGAGTTGACTGAAAATCAATATTCCCTGTATCCCAACAGTCATGAGACTAGATCCTCCTTTTCCTGTCTTTCTCCCTCTTCTTCCCTGTACACTCCTAAGTATTAATGATTTATCAGAGAAATTTGGGGTGGGGGATAGATAACCATGAAATTATGGAATGTTTATGGCTATTTTCTCTGCATTTCGTCTTACCTGCAGTTGTAATTCATTGTTTCTAGAGTTCTCCACAAATACAAGTTTCCATTGACATGAAAAACACATGAAATCAATCAAACAAAAGGAACTACGAAAACTATGAATTTTTACACTGGAAGTGATGTCTCCTATTTATATCCTTTCCAGTATGTACTCAGACATACTTACTTAAATGAGCATTGTTTTTAAGACAAGCGTGCTTACAAAAAATTGCCGTGACCTATAATAAAAAATGTTTAAAAAATAATCTGTTTTTCATGTGCTTAGGGTCTAAACCACCTACAGTGATAGTTTTTGTTTTCATTAACAGGAATGAGTTAGTTTTGCAAGTATTCTTGAGCATATGTTTGAGAACTCATTGAAATGACCCAGGCAAGACTCCTTTACAACCACGAAAAACTGAAATACATTCAGTATAGTAGAAAATAATTGAATAGTATAATTAAAAGGTCATCTTTCTTCTAAATAATTTGTGTGAACAGAAAGACATCTTGTAAAATGGCTTACATCCAGTATTTTTGATCTGCTTCCTTTTTCTAGGAACCATATTGATTGCAGTTTTAGAAATAAAGCCATTTAAACAAAATCAATTAAAATGACGTTAGGAAGGTCATACACATATTTATAAAAATCAAATAATCTGTTAATTAAAAATCACAAGCCATTAGTAACATTGAAGCTGAAATTTCCATGGCAATAGTAAAAAAATTTAACAGCACACATTTTATTTACTTTGCAAAATAGATGGATCCAGTAAAACAGGCTGATGACCTAATACAAGGTGAAATTATAGTCGTATGTTTGAGCTAACAAATACAGAAGAAGTGTCAGCAAGATTGGCAGGGAGAATACAGACCTGAAATCATAGCATTATAGACATTATTTAGGAAAAATATAGGTAACACTAAATAATCTACTTCTATGCCCTTTTTTAAAGTTTGTAAATTTTCACCGTGCTGCCTAAGCAAACATCTATTACTTTTATAAATATAAAATTGCATCCACAATATTACACTTTTTATTATTTCTCTGAGTTGACTGCTGAGAATGTAGCATTCTCTTTCTCATTTTTGGCATTATGTTAGCAAGAAAATTCCCCCGGGCACCACCAAGTCATTTTTGAAGTCTTTCGTACCTGCTTCCCTTTTTAATTATTTCATATGCATTATAAGAAGTAAAATAATGGTTTCTGTCTTATTTATTATTTTATTCTCACTTTTGATTATGCTGGACATTAAATTTTTATCTTTCCACTCCATATAACTGCGAACTCTGCTTGTGTTCAGGTTTCATCTGACTGTAATTCATTGACAGCCAAGTGTACACATAATTAAATGTATGTATGTCTATAACACATTTTCTGAATATTGTTTGTTATAATACTAATAAAAACGAATACCAACAAATTGCTGATGTTTTGTTGTGCAAAAATTATAAATGTAAATGTACATAAGTTGTTTGGAACTCTAAGCTCTCAGGAGGCATATAAGTTATTAAACGAGATGATATGAAGATAAAGTTATAACAACATGAGGCTATGAATAACCAGTGCTTAGAAAGTGGTGCAGAACCGGGACCACTAGGATGGCTCATGCATGTAATCCCAGCACTCTGGGAGGCTGAGGTGGCCAGATCACCTAAGGTCAGGAGTTCGAGACCAGCCTGGCCAACATGGTGAAACCCCATTTCTACTAAAAATAACAAAAATCAGCTGGGTGTAATGGTGCATGCCTGTAGTTCCAGCTACTTGGGAAGCTGAGGCAGGAGAATCGCTTTAACCTGGGAGATGGGGGTTCCAGTGAGCTGAGATCATGCCACTGCACTCCAGCCTGGGCAACAGAACAAAAAAAGAAAGAAAAGAAAAGAAGAGAGAGAGAGAGAGAGAAAGAAAAAGAAAGAGAGAGAGAGAGAAAGAAAAAGAAAGAAAGAGAGAGAGAAAGAAAGACAAAGAAAGACAAAGGAAAGAAGGAAGGAAGGAAGGAAGGAAGGAAGGAAGGAAGGCAGGAAGGAAGGAAGGAAGGAGGAAGGAAGGAAGGAAAGAGAGAAGAAGAAAGAAAGAAAAAGATTTTAAAATTCAAAATGTATTGGAAACTCTGAGGAAACAGGAGTAGAGTCCCTAAAGTACCAATGAAAGAGTTTGCAAAGACAGGATAAGACCATGTTTTGGCAGGTTCTGTATTTCAGGCTGAATAGTCCTAGTTATGGGCAGAAGATGATCATTTTGTGGGTTTTTAGCAGGCTAATGACTGTTCTTTGGACAGATGAATCTGGCAGCAGATTGCTGGCTGCTTTGCCGGGGAAAGAATGAAGGCAGAGAGGCAAGTTAGTGGAGCTAGGAAAGTTGGGGAGGAAATTGTTTGGATAAGAGATGAGACAGGGATAGCCTAGAAATGATACATTTTAGTAATGTGGAATTTGAGTTAAATGCCAAAGCAGTCAGTTGAAGGAGAAATATCTGTCTGAAAATCGTTTTAAGAGGCACAATTAAGACGTAGAGATGATTCTAATAGCAAAGTTTGACTAAATTTCAAATGCTTTGTTAGAAGGCTTAAAATTAAGCCATTGAAGGTAATGGCTATTCAGATTAACAGCTTTGAGAGGATAAAGTATGAGGGACACAAAGTGAAGAGACCACTGAAGATTGAATGTTGGGAAATGCTATCTCCTTTTGGGGAAGAGGAATCATGGAAGGAAATTAAGAAGTTGTTGGAAAAGTAGGAGAACCTGAAGAGTGTAGCCTTGTTGAAGTCAAGGGAGAATGAAGTTGATCCACCCAGTTGATACCTCTCAGAGACCAAGGTAGCACATTTGTCTAGTCATGATTTTTCACGACATATTTCACACATCACTAGGAAATGCTTCCTGTAATTGAATATTCTCCTCCTCTGCCAGCAAGTATCAACATACTCTGTGAACTGTTGCAGAGTGATTTATAATGTGAATAAGACCTCGGAAACTTGTTTTCGTTACGCCTGTGGATACACGTCAGTTAAGACATTCAAAACCCTATCCACAATAGCATGAAAAACTCTAGAGCCACGTTTTCTTCTCTTTCTTTGTGGCTAATTCCAGAAATTAGCTATTAATCACAGGGAACACCACAAAAATATGATCAGATCTTTTTAATCCCTAAATCCAAAATGACTGAAAATTTGCTGAGGCAACTTTCTCTTGGTGTTTGCCCAAATGTAGATGTTGCTCTGCTAAGAGTGTACGAAATCCACTCAGCACGCACAAAGAGATTGCTTTTGGCACACTAGATCGGTGCACCTGTGCACACTAGCACAGAGGCAAAAAGTAGGAAAAGAAAGTAGATTTAGATTCTGCTGCATGGAAAACTGCAATGTGATTACTGGGGTTGAGCCCATTTGTTGGACCCAAAATAGTAACCACTTGTAATAAATCATCAGCCTTTAGAGTGTAATGTACAATACCAGCCATGGGGCAGTTGCTTCTTGGAATGATGTATTCATCCCTCAGGTTAAAGGTAAGAGGAAAAAACTGCTGAGGTTAAATTATTGTCACCTTGCCCTGGTGACTTAGAATACTAGATGAGAGTTGTTACTGGGCATCTCTTCTGCTAACGTTGTTGAATCCAGATGAGAACTTGGGAGACTTTTTACATAATTGAAGCTGGCAGTGCAGTGATGCTAGGAGAACCCTGGGTCTGGTCCAGTCCTCCTTCTGCCTCTGGCTTAGCTGTGTGATCCTGAGCAAGTCACTGAACCTATTTTGCCTTTGGCTTTCTTGGAAAAGGAAGAGATAATTCCCCTTTGTCTATTCCAAAATAAAACAGAGGAAAGTTCTTTTAAGAAGTAGAAACAACTGTGGGGATGGACAATTTTAAAAAGAGTTCCTGAATTTAGGAAATACATACTTTCTTCTAGGTTTATTTCAGATTGGTAATTAAGAATATTTAAAAAAAAATTGTGTAAGACCTCTTCAAGCAGAAATTTGCCATTTCTGGAAAATGAAAGTGGTTCCAAACTTGGAATCACATTTTTAGACACTGCAAGCTGGTTTTGCACCAAATTCCCTTAGCTTTCCACAGGGCCTTTCACGCTCTTCATTTTTTTGTTGTCTTTTCTCCTTCTTTTGCATTTTTCCTCTCTCTTTATCTGCTGTAGAATAGTTTCTATTTTCAAACT